TGAACTGTGTTCCCCTGAAATTCATATATGGAAGACCTAAACCCTAGTACTTTAGAATATGACTACATTTGGAGATAGATCTTTTCAAGAATTGGTTATGGTTAAATGTCATATAGGTGAGGCTGTAATTTAAAAGATTGGTTTCCTTATAAGAAGAGGAAGAGATACCTGGAATGTGAATGCACAGAGAAAAGTGCACATGTGAAGACACATGCAAGAAGTCTGTCTTTTTGTCTGCAAGCCAAGGAGAAAGGCCTCAGGAAAACTAATTTTGCAAGCAGCACTTTAATTTTGGATTTTCAGCATCTGCAGCATCCAAAACTATGGGAAAACTCATTTCTCTTCTTTAAACCATCCAGTCTGTGGTATTTGTTTTTTTATAGCTCTAGCTAACTGATAAATGCAGGTAGCAGGGTTTGTGTGATATAGTTCTGGCCAATACAACGTTAAATAACTACGGAAGTTTCTGGCAAAGCCTTTGCTTTTCTGATCCAGGCACTAAGCCTTCCTGTGTCCTCTTCTTTCCCTGCTTATAATGCACTCTGACAGTTGACCTGCAGCAGTCTTCTTGGAACCATGAGGCAGGAGCATATGGAAGAAGGCCTATATGCTAAGCACAGCTAACAGAAAAAGTGGGAGGAACCTGCTGGCATCACTAAGATGCTGGACCAGGGTTTTTGGGTGGATGTTTACTCCAAAGGCTTAAGTCACTGTTTCATGGTATTCTGTTATTTACAGAGAACACAATACTAACCAATACAAATGTATAACTAGTGTGACTATTTTATGTGAAAAAAGTTGAGTTATATTCATCAGTTTCTCAGGAGAGTTTTAGGCATACTGTGGTAGCACTTGAATGTAAAGACTGAATCTCTTGTTCTTTTAGATTTCACAGCCAGTATCTTCCCAACTACTTAATATCTTCCATGAATTCTTACCCTTTTGTCTGATTGCCCATAGCAAACAATCCAAACTTTGTCCCTTTGAGTCTTAGGGTTTTGTGGACTTTGTAAAATTAATTTTTAAATTTTGAGAAAATAAAAGTTCACACATATGAACATAAGAAATCATGCAGAGAGATCCAGCTTTCTCCAGTGGTAACATCTTGTAAAATTTTAGTACACTATCACAACTAGGATGCTGACATTGATATATTGAAGATATAAAACTACTCTAATACCACAAAGATTCATATAGTCACACCAGCTTCCTTCCCAAACGACTTCCCCTGGCCTTAACCTTTGGTAAAATAGTTCTCCATTGAATTTTGTCACTTCAACAACGTTTATAAAGAAATCATACACTATGTAATCTTTAGAATTGACTTTTTTCACTCAGCCTAGTTCTGTGGAGATTCACTCAGGTTGTTGCATTTATCAGTATACTTGGTTGCTTTTGCTTACTGACTAGTATTCCACAATGTGATATACCATGGTTACTTTAACCAGTCACTGGATTTATGCTCTACAACTGTTCATTAGGAAAAGCTAGGTTTCCAATGAAGTCCATCTTCTGTAAGCTGGATTCTCTTCTTCAATAGCGTGACTTGTGCCTGAGTTCAGGCAGTGTTATGTGGCCGTGTCTCCCAATATAGGCTGTAACCTCTACCTAATGATTCCCCAGAGTTATAGCACATTAGATTCCCCTGAAGAGCTTTCAATAAAAATCCAAATACTTATGTTGCATGCCAAAACAATTAAATCCATATATCATAGTGTCAGAGCCAGGCATCAGTATTTTTAAAGACCCTCTCTTGTCTCCACTGTGTTATGAAGTTGAGGAACCACCAGCTAGAGGCTGCACAAAGACCCTGTTGCAACATTTTAAAAGTAATTCCATTGGTTTTATTGCTTATACATCCCTCAAGAAATGATAAATTTATAAGGTTTATAAATATACCAATTATTACAAAAAATGAGTGAAATATAGAGAGGAGTAAGGAAGATCTTCTTAAAACTCCTCTTCCTATCATTTGTAAATGCATGATAATCCTAAAGATTACACAAATATCTCTCACAAAGTGTAAGACAGGGAAGAGAGAGATATGGAAAACTGGACTGATTTTCCATCTATCTGTCTGTCTAGATGGATAAGGAAAATATGAACAAATGTATATGAGGTTGAAATTCTGGTTTTGCTGTACTGTTCAGTGGCCTTGGCATGGACTTGACATGCTGATGACATCTCCTTTGCTATCATTCATATTCACCAATTAGTCATACAGTCTTCTTTTTCAAATATTTGTATATAATTTCATCATGTAACTCAAATGTACTCAAATCAAAAGCTAGGACCAGATGGCTTCACTGATGAATTTTACCAACTATTTAAAGAAATACCACCATTCCTTTTCAAACTCTTCCCAAAAATCAAATGGAGGGAACACTCCTAAACTCACTTTTTGAGTATAGCATTACCCTGATTACAAAGCCAGAAAAGGACACTGTCAGAAAAGAAAATTACAGATCAATGTCCCTGATGAATATAGATACAAAAATATCAAGAAAATACTAGCAAACCAAATTCAGTAGAATATTAAAAGGATCATTCACCATAATCAAGAGGGATTTGTACTTGACATGCAGGATGGTTCAACATATGTGAATGAATCATTGTGATGTCACATTAATAGAATGGAAGAAAAAAATCATATTATCTCAGTAGATGCAGAAAAAGCACTTGGCAGAATTCACCAGCCATTTGGGATAAAATTAACTCTTAACCATTTCTACCCATGTCCACTGGATTCCAAAGACTTCTCTTTTTTTCCATATCATTTGGATCCAACTATGGTTGAAGTTATTCTTAGTGGTGAAGGCTAATAAATAAAGATTAATGTCTTTGAAACAGTCATTGTAGATACAAGAGCAGCAAATATGAGCAAAGCTATAGGTTGACTGACCCAGTCTCCTTTCTAGATCCTTCTCCCTTTCCTACCTCAACTGTCTACACTGTAAGTGGTAGAAATGATTTCCCAGCATTTCTTGCAGGTAGTAGTGTCCACAACACAGTTCTGTCCAATGCAAAATAAGTACACATGTGGAGGTTTCTGGCACAGCCTCTGCTTTTCTGATTCAGGCACTAAGCCTTTTTGTTCCTTTTTTTTTTCCTCTGCCTAACATGTGTATTGAGGTCCAGAGGTACAGTAGCCATCTTGGGATCTTGAAGTGGGAGCGTAAGGAAGAAGGTCTATATACTAAGCAGAGCTGACTGTGTGGGAGCTGAAGTGTGGGAGGAGTCTGCTGGCATCATTCAAATGCTAAACAGGGTTGGATGTTAATCCACAGTCTTCTTTGAAACTCCTATTGTAGGGTTTTCTGTCACTTACAGAAAACACAATCCTAACTGACACACATATGTAAATAGAGTATATTTTTTAATATGAGAAATTACGTATACATTCATCAGTTTCTCATGAGAGCTTTAGGAGGGCTTTGGCAGCCTGAGGATTAGATATCTTAAAGATGTTAACTGATTATCTGAGTGTTTATAGTAGATAGTTAACCATAGTTAACCATAGACTGTCTTTGTACCACTTAAAAAGTGATCATCTCATCAGAGGTAGTGAATACAGATTCTGGGATTAGGAGTCCTGCCTCTGGGGCTTTTGTGGAGAAGCAGATGAGGACAAGGGCCAAAGCAGTCTGAGGAGATATCTCTTGTGCATGGAGATGACTTTGTCCTGTCTGGGCTGTCAATTTCCTGGTCGCTTGTTCTCTGTGTTGGATTTTCCATTTCAGACAGCACTCTTCCTGGCTGTGTCCAAGGTGGCTTATGGACTCTGAGATTCTGCAGCCATTTACAAAGTTTTACAAGGTGACCTTAGTGAAGACTTAATAAAGCTTTGGATTAATTACTGATTAATAATTGATTAATCATGTATGAGAATTTGAAGTATGAAAGTTGCTGTTTCAGTCCCTTTAAATTCTGTTTACAGACATTTGATGGAAATTAAATTGCTAGTTAAGTGTATTTTTTAAAATAAATACTGCCTAAAAATTTAGGTGTATTTAAGTCAAAGGAACTAGCTAAGTACAAGGTGATAAATTTCTTTATTTACTGTGCTAAGGTTTCATATCATTTCACAGTTATTTTGTTTCAGAAATGGTTTCTCAATTCTAAAATAGCAAACATGAAGTATGTTTCCCTGCTAAACCACTTTTCCTGTAATATGTGACACTAAATTGCTTATTCTCTCTATCTCTCCATATATATACAATATTCTCTTTTAAAAACATAATTTACTTGTTAGTGTTTTAGACAGCAGAATTAAGATAAGAATCCTAGTTTGAAAAATAGTTGAGTTTATAATGGCCCTAACTAAATTAAATTGATTTAGGGTCCCTTTTGATTTTTTGTAATAGTTCAATAAGACGCAAAAATTTTCAAATTTATCAGAAAAGCTCAAGTGTTGTGACTCTTTGTATATTCAATCTAAGACTTAATATCAACAAAAACATTTTGGTGCTTTTTATATACCTTGTGTTAGGTGCTTGGTAAGTTATTTTTTACTACTAAAATAATTCACTTGACATTAAGTAGTGAAAGAATATTTGGGCATTAGGCGGGAAAAAAGAGTGGGTGACAGGTTATAATTTATCAGATACAAATTTTAAAAGTAGACATATCCATTCTCACTAATACAAGATATGATGTTTTATTAAGCTACCTATTTTTAAAATTTTCTTTGAGTTATTATGTGTGGCGAAAGTGATTAAGATTTTATTGTAATTTTAAGCCAGCAGCATTAAAAAAAATAGTAGTAACATAATGATATGAATTTAAAAAGACAAAAATACCATCTAGCATAAAAAATTTATTAGCAGAAAGTACAGTAATATAAGCGACATATTTTTACACATCAGATGGGAAA